AATATAATCAAAAATAAATATGGAAATGTAGATATATTTAAATAAGTTAAAATCGAAAGCATCAAATACATTAAAAGATCGCTGAATAATAGTCATTTAAATGTACATATATACTATTATTTTAGCCTGTGGATCCCAAGCACCCTCTTTCTTGACTAATATGGTAGTAGTAAAGTAAAAGAAGTTTTAATGAAGCTATTGACCGTCAATGTAAGGTAGGGTAAAAAATCAATGTGGCAAATATGTAACTTACAGACATGATACCCTGAATTATGCTCCGCAACTTAGATGTAAACAAAATGCCTTTAGACATGTTCCCATCAGATATAGTTTCATTTGATGTTGAATCGAGATTTCCTTGTCCAAAAAACGTTAAATCAAGAAGGCGTTCGTCGCTCAAATCATTTATTAATGCAATAAGTTGATCTGACACGATGAAAATGTTAGCATAGTATTCAATAATTCTCAAATTTAAAAGTTAAAAAGCAACATGCAAATTAAGCAGAACCTGACCTTTGATTGCATTCTCGCGCTCTTGTGCTCTGCAAAATTGTCGTTTAGTTTCATTAAGCTGCATCTTATACGATCGAATCTCCCTTTCAAAGTCATTGCAAGCGGTTTCTAGCAACTCGAAAGTAGCCGTGTCGTTTGCATCGTAATTAATTCTGCTGATGCCTGAATCAACAGTTTGTGAACAAAAATCAGCATGAGTAGCATTTGATTCTGATGATTGTTCTAGATGGATTTCGGCTATTTTGGCAAAAGTATCATGCAAAATAGTTTCGTTGGTATATAAAGAATCGGTTAATCCATTCAAAGTTGAAAAAATGTAGGAAAGCTGATCAATAACGAGATTTTCAGGCTCGACGTCATAATCTCGATTGGCAAGCAAGTCAGTGATCTTATTAAAGGTTTTGTCAAGACATTGCATCAGAGAAGATGATTCCGATTCAAGTTGACCTTTACATAGGATTAATCGTTGCTTAAATTGGCTTAGAGAATCAAAGACATGAGGAAGTTGAAATATATCTGATTCATTCAATAGAAGGGATTGCAAATGATGAAACATATCACCAGCCGACCTGATAAATTTAATCAGAGTATCTTCAGACATTACTGAAACGAAAACACCATTATTGTAAAAATTAAAACCTCCAATGTAGACGTCATTATGGAAAATATATAGTTGACGTGTAACAGCAGGACCCAACAAATATTAATATAGTTAGCAGGCACCTGTCACGATGGCAATAACGTAATTTAATTGCGAACTTTTCACGGGTTCATCTGATCAGCTTTTCAATGAAAATATACATATAAATATTAAACATTGCTGATAAGTATCCCGTAAATTTTCGAAGCTAAAATTTGAATTAGACTTATGGCAAGCTGTGCTGC